GAGTCTGGGCAGAGATTGTGTGGCCTTTAGGAAGAAAATCGGCCCACCTACCTGCATTTTGTTCTCAGCGTTCTGTAGCTTCATCAGGTTCCTGTATGTCAGATGATTCTGCTGGACGGGAAAGCAAGAGGTAGATGTGGACTGCACTTTTGCCATAGTGAATCAAGCCACCTTTCTTCAGTTTAAAAGGAGAAGCCAATGAAATCATGTAAAGTTTGGGCTTTGAATGATGGCCTTGTTGAAGAACCAAATTCAGAGCAATACATTATGGCTAATCTTTGAATTGGATGAAATGTTTACATAGCACAGTGTGCCAAAGTCATTTGCTGTTTGATTGAAACATGGAAACACACTTCTACTCCAGACTAGGACAGTTTCATTTTTAGTAAATGAAGGACTTGTGACCCCACCTTTTTTTTTGTCTCTTTGGTTTCCTTGAAAACCCAATTTTAGAAAGATCTTGATGTTGCATTAAATGGCAAAGGAAACAGCATGGGGTCTATAATAGTGTGTATGTGTGTATATACAGTATGTATGTCCATGCATGTACATTTACACATTCAGTTGCAATTATAGTGATTTGGTCAACTGTACAGCGCTTGTATTTGTTCATTGTTTTATAGATATTGCAAAAGTTTGAATGACGGAAAATAATTAACTTAAAATAAAATGTAAAAAAAAAATATATATACATTTAAAGAATCTCATTCTTTCTTTAACAAACAAACATTGCCTTTAAGTCGATTATTTTAATTTACAGCTTTACTGTAATGAGAATTTGAGGACAGAATGTGCATATGTCCTAAAAATGTCATAATGCAAATAAAAGTAACAAGGGTTCTAATAGTACTTATATATATAGTTGTTGAAGAACCAAATTCAGAGCAATACATTATGGCTAATCTTTGAATTGGATGAAATGTTTACATAGCACAGTGTGCCAAAGTCATTTGCTGTTTGATTGAAACATGGAAACACACTTCTACTCCAGACTAGGACAGTTTCATTTTTAGTAAATGAAGGACTTGTGACCCCACCTTTTTTTTTGTCTCTTTGGTTTCCTTGAAAACCCAATTTTAGAAAGATCTTGATGTTGCATTAAATGGCAAAGGAAACAGCATGGGGTCTATAATAGTGTGTATGTGTGTATATACAGTATGTATGTCCATGCATGTACATTTACACATTCAGTTGCAATTATAGTGATTTGGTCAACTGTACAGCGCTTGTATTTGTTCATTGTTTTATAGATATTGCAAAAGTTTGAATGACGGAAAATAATTAACTTAAAATAAAATGTAAAAAAAAAATAATTATATACATATGCAGTGTCCCAAGTGTTTTCACATATGATGCATTAACAAAACTAAATAAATATTTTTGCATCAAAAATGCAATCTACTACTAGGACCCTCTGAATTTTTGTATTGTGATTTGTATTTATTGTATTACATTACATTCAAAAATGAAAATTAAATTCAGTACAAACTACCATTTTTTTTATATAACATTTGAGATATA